AGTGCGCGTGATTCGAACACCTTACCGTCGCGACTTTAGTATTGGAATGTAACAAAAATTTGACATTTAATAACCAGTATAAAAGCAAGTATTAAAGGAATTTTATTGGTGCACAACCCTCTGGTGAGGCTTTTATGAATTCCGAAGGCAGTTTGAACTAAATGTTAGAATTTAAGATGTTTGTCTACTTTTGAGTACGTCTAAAATTGCTACCAGGCAATATACAGGGGCAAAGTCAAGTCAAGTCAAAAATCATTTATTCATATAGGTAACACAATGTACACTTATTAACCTCAAAAAAGAAATACATATGAAATGCTTCAAATTTTACATTAGCTGCCAGTTCTCACATCAAGGGCGTAGAACGGAAGAGAAGAACTGGCAATAAACTCTCTGCCACTCTTTTTAATTGCCAAGTTTTACGCAACGTTTGTAAGGAGCTGCGACCGTTACACCATGTTCCACGTGACATCTTAAGTAATAAATAATAATAAATAAATTAAAAACAAAGATTTGTCCTCTATCAGCAGGAGGCATGGTGAAATAGGCAATCCAGAAACCTAATAACATTAGGGGAAACAGTCTGGCGCTGCATCTATCCTCTTGCACATACATTTATTGCAAGCGAGAAAGGTGACGCAGCGGTGGAGCGTGGGAGGGGGTTATTATGCTGTGAGATTTGCAATTATACCATTTGATTAGGCAAAGCTAGTTTAAATTAGCCTATTATAACTCGTGGGATCAAGTGTATATATGAAAAAAACAATAAGCCGATAGGACTGGTCTTTCAAAATATATATATATATATATTTACGTACATTATACAGTATATGTAATGTCTCTCGATTTAACTACTCGTAGAAACAACCTAAAGCGTGGAAATCACTCGGCTTTGGCTGGATAAACATAACAACATTTATTACTAACGAAACACACAATATAATAATAATAATCAAAAAATAAAAATAACAAAAAAATATGGAAAAAAGGAATTAAGTTCATTTTTTAGTGTGTAATGTGTGTGCGTTGTGGTTGTAACTGGTCCTGGCTCAGCATTATGCTGTGGAGCAGACGTATTAGTCTGCGCCTCAGACGCACTAAAATAATAAAAAGTACTTTTAAGTTGCCGAAATTAGTGCGGAGCTATGTACGTTCTTTTGTCGCTTAATTGTCCTAGCCCGTATTAGACTGTCGGCATCTTACGTACCGAACTTTCTAAGAAATCCGTTCTTTTGTTTACAAATTGGGATTGCTTGCGAGTGGTTTAATTGCTTAGTCACGATGATGCCTCAATATTCAAGATATGAATAAAATTAGTAAAAAAATACAACATAATTACTGGCGCAGCAAAAGACGTCAAACGAAAATAACTGACTATACGCAATAGCGTTCAAAAAAGAATATTTTTTATGTAATTACTAACATTAGCCTGAAATAAACTTTTCTTTTTCTAATACAGATTTTTCTTCTTTCCATTTAACGACAACTCTAAACGTAACTTCAAAATAGGCACAGACCCTTGAGTTAAAGTTAGTCATTCTTTTTTGGGAAAAGGGATACTCTTATTTAATAAAATCCCAGAGGCTCTTTTATCTCTGCCTTTTAATTAATTTAAGAAACGTATTAAAGAAAAGCTGTGTAAAAAGGCTTACTATAAAGTTAACGATTATCTCGTTGATAAAAGGGCATGGGACTAGTGCTAGACAGGCTACTTCTAATTAATTTGCGATATTTGTTTTAAAATAAGTGTTGTTTGATAATTTGCTGTTTTGAAAGAGTACCGAGAGTTTTTTACGCCGGCTTTTTCTCTCGGCCTACACCCTCTGTCTTCTTTGCCGATGAGTAGGGATGCCTACAGATTCAAATTTAATGACGTGGAGTAAGTGATACCTCTATCTTATATTCCATAATAAACATTTATAAGTATAAGTTTACACTGTATATGAAGATCGTATTAGGTTATTTTGGATGTTCATTTATCGATATATCATATAGGTTAATAAACCATCTTATACGCGATAAATCACGGCAACGTTAGCTGAGACATTTCAGTTAATATCCTGAAAACTATCATTTATCAGATTACAAAACCCTGGTCACTGAAGAAACGATTCATTTGACATCTCGATCATCCAAATCGGTCCACGGACGGAGGAGCTATGAACATATATACAACATATGAATATTTTTTCTGTATTTTATATGACTTAAAATTAATAAACATTTTTTAATTCTTTTTGCAGCTAAATTACACGAACTAACCCATTTATCACGTGCACTTATACAAAGACGTTCGTTCCGCATTTTCACTGTTTTGAACTATAGGACTGTCAATTTTATAAACATGTGTTTATAATAGGGTTTCGGTATTCCAGCACCTCTGTAATCTGTCATGCCTATCACTGTTAATGATTGTTAATTGGATTACAAGGTCCTATACAGGACTTCGCATGGTACTGTACATGGCACAAACATGGTACTGTACAGGGTACTAATAAGTACTGTACTGTGTAGGTATAAAATATAATTTGAATACCGCTCCAGCGTGACCAGGACTAAGTAGCAAAGGTTCACAACGAAGATTTAGTCTGGTCAAATTAGACACGGGTGTCCTGTTAGCTAAGCCCCTAACAAATATAAACCATAAGAACTAGATATTTAAAGCTTTCTTACACTGTGACATAATCTCTACGAATATTATAAAGAGGAAAGATTTGATTGCATTAAAAAGGCTCCAAAACTGGACTGATTTGAAAAATTCTTACCATTACAATCCTAAATGCCTGATCGACATAGGCTATATATAATTAAGATAGTGTTAAGGTGTGAAGATCAATAGAGACTACTATATGCTGCGGAAACTATTGACAATAGAGCAATGTTCTTGAGTTTTATAGAAGACATCAATGTCTACATATCTGTAACAAAATATTGCATTTAAGTCTATTTACCGAAAGCTTTGGGCTATAGAACATCGTGCTGTCGAATTAATGCGTACAAAATAGTAATAAAATTAAAATAAATTTAATAATATTTAAACGTAATCCACTATGAACACAGCCCTAAGGCATTTTTGAAAAACAGCACCCAGTTAAAACCTCTGACATTTACTGGTAATAAACGTTTATCATGTCCGTATATATATAATGTATGTATGTTTATACAAAACATAAAAACGTCTAAAAAGAGACAAAATAATTTCATCGTAAAACTAATTTAGAGTAAATGTTATGTTTTTAATACTAGCTATTAAAACATCGTGATAACGGTATTGGAGGTGTAGACACAAACGCCTGATCACCGACTTGCCTATTAATCACGAAAAAGATAAATCTGAAGCCTAGATTCAGGCTAAGTTAATTTTTTTTTAATTCACTTCCTTGCAAGAAATCAGTACAATATGGCGGCCTTATCGGTTCAAACAATATCTTTCAAGTAAAAAATTATATAAGGTACAAGAAGTGCAAACCAAAATCTTTAAATGGCACCTAAAAAGTGCCAAAGCGGGGAAGCAGAGGGCCATGAGTTCAAAAGAAGGGATTGTGATGCCTTCAAGTACTGGACTCGATCTCCATTAGCTATTTCTAAAAGCGTACAGCCCGGTCTGTGAAGGATACTAGCCGTGTCAAGTGTCTTAACAAACCAACAATGGGCGTGTAGAGGCGGACGCAACTGCGCTGCGTAAGGCGATTGTTGATGGGGTTTGGGTTTTAGTGGGTATGCACAATCGCGAGTCCCACATAACTCTCCCGCAGTTGGCCGCGGTAGAGTATGCGCAATGCATTTCCTCAAGTACAAAAGTAAAATAGTGGTATATATTTGGATGTAGAGGATAGGTCCGAAGCAACGCCAGACATATCCCAGATTTTTGGACTGCCCTCGTACGAAAATTAAATAAAACTAGTACAAGCTTTGAGGTCTGGGCCTCTTATGTATGTGTTTCATGGGGCAAGTAGGTGATCAGCCTTTGCCTGATTGGGTCTAATGTGTTACGATGTTCTCGCTACAACCTTTTAGATGTGGCCTTCGATATCTGTTTCTAAATAGGCTTATTGAAAAGACTTCTGTGTCTACACGTGTGTGTTCCTCACAATGTTTGCCTTCATCAGACACAGTCCATTGGTTCACAACTGGACGAACTTAAAACCTCAGGGATAAGTGTCCCACGCTAAAGTCTCAATGTGGAGATCAAATAGTATAGTGCTTTGCCACTGATACGTGGGTCTAATTCCTCACGATACTTTCCTTACTCAGCGAGTGTTAGACACATAGAAAAGTCCATTGGTTCAGGGATAAGTGTCCCATTCTAAATAAAATATGTTTATTATGGAAAATACAGGTATCACTTATTCCACGTCATTAAATTTTAATCGGTAGACATCCCTACTCATCGGTAAAGAAGACAGAGGGTGTAGGCCGAGAGAAAGAAAAAGCCGGCATAAAAAACTCTCAATACTCTTTTAAAAAAGCATATCGTCATTAAAATGACTGGCAAACAACACTTATTTTAAAACAAATATCGCAAATTAATTAGAAGTAGCCTGTCTAGCACTAGTCCCCGGCCCTTTTATTAACTAGATAATCGTTAACTTTATAGTAAGCCTTTTTACACAGCTTTCCTTTAATACATTTCTTAAATTTATTAAAATGCAGAGATAAAATAGCCTCTGGGATTTTATTAAAGAAAAGTATCTCTTTTCCCAAAAAACAATGACTAACTTTGTATGCCTGAATTTGGACCTCAATTATAGTGCTTTGTGTGGATCTGATGACCTCCTTCCTCATGATGTTATCCTTCATACGAGAGAATAAAATATCCAAAGTTTGAAAAATAATTTCGATAAAATACAAAGTAAACCAACACTGCAGAGCACGTCAATTTAAGAACCAAAATGGCGACAAGCCGAACGACTTCCTGCATTCCTGTATAACATCTCAATATACATATAAAAGCCACCAGGCGTCTGATGATACAGTCAGTAGCCATCAAGTGATACAAAATGCGAGTTCTGGTCAGTACTTTAATTTTATTAGTAATTTTTTTATAATATTTGTGTGTTATAACCCTTTATCGGTGAGAATTTATAAAGTTTATATAAAATATAAATAAATCAGTGGCGATACAACCTTTTTAGATCTGGGCCTCAGATTTCTGTATATGATCCATGATAATTTGTCAATCTAATAGGCCTCCTGTGCCAGACCCACGCCGTCGTGTTGGGTCTAAGTCAAGCCGGTTTTCTCGCGATGTTTTCCTTCTTAAGAGCAAGTGTTAAATGCGCATATAGAAAGTCTATTGGTACAGAGCCGGGAATCGAACCTACGAGCTCAGGGTTGAGAGTCGCACGCTGAAGCCACTAGGCCAACACTGCTCTAAAGTATATATATACTTATACTTAAAAGTCCTTTAAAAGTGCCATTTTGTTGTGTTGGAAGATATCTAAAGCGTTAACCCACTTGCCCTATCATTAAATTATTATTTGTAGTGATTATTGTAACGTGCGAAACCTGCCAATTTTAAATTCATATTACCAGTTTTGTAATGCCCTTGATTTGATAACTGCTATTCATTTAGAACTTTAGTATTATTAACCAGCTGCCCCCTTGAACTTAGTTTTTAGTACATATCAACATATCGAATTTTGCTATGCTACCCTATAGAGACTGTTCCCTGCTACGGATTAAGGGTTGTTCCCTATTTTTCTCAAAGAACTCGAACTGGCCTTCGACTATTGCGCTTAGCTACATATTTTGCGATTCATTTTTATTTATACGTTATTATTAACATAAAATATTTAATTAAATTTCTGTAAATGAGCTTTAATTCTATATAGTATCTTATTTAAAAGACATGTACGCGCTCGCGCTGCTGGAATATTTGCGACAATTTGTAACGCTTTTTCATCAGTACCTTATTATAAATTATTTCTGAGTTTATTTTAATTAAAACATATACAAGGAAAATCACGATTTTAGCACTACGATAAAAAATTTACACGCAACAATACATATTCAAAAAGCAATTTTGACACTTTAACCTATTACCTATTACCGTTGAAATATCGCGGAACATCACAGAGCAATAGAGTGAGCGCGGGCAAGTCTACCTCATTAAATAAAAAGGATTATAATTCTGAAAGAAATTATCAAATAGTTCCAGTAGGTTTGAAGCAACGCCAAGAAATCTTTCCTTTTTATAAACTCGCCACACTTTCAGTTACTAACAGCAGTTATACAAATACTTAATAATAAAAAATTGCATAGAAACGCGTGAAGAATGAATATTCCTAAAGGATCCATCACCGAACCCAACACCTGCAAGTATACGGTTGTCAGACTCGGAGTCCAAGCACACAAAACTCATAAATGTCAATCTAGGGAATCCAATGGTACCTAAAATTATCACATGTATTTTTTATCTAGGTTCTCTCCGCTTTATTCGCCTGCGCAGCAGCAGCGCCATCCTACCTAAACCTACCAATTGTGGGGCCTATCGTCACATTTGCTGCACCACTCACAGTTCCAGCTGGAGATGTACAAGCAGCCGTCATCAACGCTCAGGTAAAATATCTCCAGGTTTTTTATATGATTACAAACCAGGCTGTGTAAGCCATAAAAGGCCATGGACACCCATTTCTTGCCCTTGAGGAAGGAGTGTGTTTTTTTCAATACTTGAACGAAGAACTTCGAAGAACTTCACTGGGAGCCACTAGTTCGCAATAGAAAATGTCTAGAAAAGTGGAAATATCTCCACCATAGAAAACCTCACATAGAATGGATCACTTAATTTCTTTCCAGGTGAGACTAACAGACGAAGCCCGCGCCATGGCCGACCAAGCACGCGAGCTGCAAGAACAAGTCATTGAAAACCGCAACGAAGGAGTCATTGAAGCCAACGATCTAGCAAAGGAAAAGAGCGAAGAACTATTCTGGTCAGCTGAGGAGAAGAAATGGCAAGCTTTAGAAGCCACCCAAACAGCTGAAGCTGCTTTAGATGGAACTTTATCCAACAACGCTGAAAACATTGCCAAATCTGCCATGGAAGGCAACGTAGCTAATGTCGCTGAAGTTGTGGCAGCTCCTGTCGAAGTGGCCGCTAAGGAAGAAGTCGCTGAAGCTAAATCCGAAATAAAAACTGAAGATAAAGAAGTTAAGGTTGAAGCCAAGGCCGCTGAAGCACCAGAAAGTCCTAAGGAAGAGATGGCTAAAGACGCTGTCCAGACAGTCGTCCACCCAATACCAGTTGGTCTGGCACCAATCAGCTACCAAGCTATTAACCCAGTTGGGTATGCGCAAATAGGTCTAAGGGCTCTTCCTTTCCCCATCCCAGTGAGACCCTACTACAATCCAGTTTTCAACACTCTCTATTAAATAAACAATTCTTAGGTTTGTCTTGTTTTATTGTTAGCCAACTAAATTTATTATAATGACATTCACTTCAATAAACAGGCAATTCAACGCGAGCCTAATAGAGAAGAAACTAAGAAAGAACTAGAAAGGTTCTCCTTTCGTCCAAACTTCATTTGGACAAAATCACTCTTCCAATACCGATTCCGAAGATTTTGTATGAAAGTCTGATGTAGTTCTTGTAACCGTAGGGCTGATGTATCTTTGGTATTAGAACAAAAACTCGGACTCAGACACTCAATGCCAGAGGGCGCTGCCAGCCTTTTACGAATGGGTACTCTCTTCGAAGGACCTAAAGTCGAAATGGTTCCGAAACATCTGTCGCCTATGAAGACTCAATGCCAGAAGGCTCGCGAAAGTGTAGCCGGTCTTTCAATCTTATGCATTGTTAAAATCAATAAACACATTTTAATTTTCATCAGGGATAACGTAGGGTTCTAATGGTCAGCTGGTTTTGATTGAGGTCCATGTCGGATGTAAACCCGTGTTGAATGCCTTAATCGTCTGGAGGGCTGTGTTTTTAGTGGGGTAGGGTCTCACTACCACTCTGAATAGCAAAGGGCTTTGAGTGCCGTGTCAACATCCAATAAAAAACAAATATTTCCTCTTTATAATATTAGTGAAGATCTGTTTCTCTTACAATAAATCACCATTCTTAAAATCTACGAAAAATACTTCGCACTAATTTTTAAATCTAAAATACTAGATTAAAATAATATCAGAGTTTCGAGTTCCATAAATTCAATACATTGTAAATAACACCTACTTATTAACTTGTGGTCTGATTCCACTTTGAGCTTTTTAGACGAGCGAATATTTGGCCTTAAACTTGCCGGACCGAGCGCAAAAGACTTCCTTTTAAACTCCGAGGTTCACAGATTAATACAATGTGGAATCAGCCGCCCACTGTAATTTTTAAGAACCAAATCGATTTAGGGCCTCCCTCCAAGATCGTGAGTGTCCATAGCACACTGGTATTTCCGCACTAATTCGACTTAGGGTCCTCCAAAGAGCGTACCAATTCTTAAAAGGCCGGTAACGCACTCGCGAACCTTTAGTTATTTAGAGGGTCCATGAGCGGTAGGTATTTTCGAACCAACACGACATAGGGTTCTTCAAAGAGCGTACCAATTCTTAAAAGGCAGGCAACGCACTCGCGAACCCTCTGGGATCGTGAGTGTCCATAGCCCACTGCTATTTCCGCACAAATTCAACTTAGGGTCCTTCAAAGAACGTACAAATGTTTAAGAGGCACTTGTCTTCTGTCATTGCCCATGGGCAGTATCACGTAAAATCAGATGAGCCTACTAAACGTTTCCCGCCTGTTCGATAAAAAAAACTAAAATTTATTAAATTTTGCTTGTGTTTTATATTTCTATATTTAACTAACACATATTAATTTAAAACATTTTGTATTAACAACATTTGTTTTAGACACAAGTGGAATTAACCTGCGCACGCGCAGTCATTGTAGATTTACCGAACCATAACCGGTAAAGGACACATTCCTTTCGTAATAAATATGTATTAATAAATTATTGTTGCTAATAAATAACTTGTTTTTCCTGTATCTTTGTTTAAAAAAATACCCGTCGCCTTGGGACACTTAAACAGCCAGAAGGCTCGCGAGCGCGTTGCCGGCCTTTTAAGAATTGGTACGCTCTTAGAAGGACCCTAAGAAAATTGGTTTGAAAATACCTACCGCTCGTGGACCCTCTAAATGACAGAAGGCTCGCGAGTGCGTTACCGGCCTTTTAATAATGATACGCTCTTCGGAGGACCCTAAGTCAAATAGATTCAGAAATCTGCCACAAACTCTCTCAATGTCAGAGATCTCGCGAGTTTAAAGAATTGGTACGGTCTTTACGACCCTAAGTCGAATTGGTTTGAATAGTATACGTATACTTCAGTGGGCAGTTGGTTCCACACAGTGGTGCCTACTGCCTTTAAACACTAAGTTGTGGAAGGGAGGTTGATATACTGGTGGAATTTTTGATGAAACTCAGCTGATCCGAATTAAATCCTTTAGTTTTTAAATCGGTTAAAAAGTAAAAGTGACATTGCCATTCAAGCCACGCCCGAAACCTGGTGACCGAGTGCTGTAATATACATGCTTTGAAATTAAATGACCCAAGATTTGCCAAGTTATAATGCAATCCGAAGATCGGTGAATGGTTCAAATATTACTCAATTGAATTAATAATTCTAAATACAGCGATTCCTACTTTTGAAAGAGCCAGATGCGATCTGGAGATCGAGACTGGATCCACATCGCTGCTGGAAAAGTTCTGCCGCAAGATTGTCAAATATGTCACTAAGATAAATAGCACGAGAGGTAACACGGGTCCAGCCGGCCAGCGGTTTCCGACTCGCCCATAATATCATGAGGATATTTGCGGAGTAGTTCTCGCCCGGGCCCAGCGGGTGACAGCAAGCTTTTTATTTAATAAAGTCCCTTTTTAGGAAGGCTCATCCGATGTTAAGTGATAGTTTAATCAACTGAGGTGTTTTGGGCGCTTTAACGGATTAATGTCATTTATTAATTTCATTGGGAAATATTGGTTTGACATGTGGTTCGTATATAAATATCGTATACGTTTTTTACGTTTATATTCGTCTTAAAAGTACAATAATTTTTTTTTTTTTTAAGACAATTCACACCAATTGACCTAGTCCCATGCTAAGCTGGTGAAGCTTGTGTTATGGGTACTAGGCAACGGATATACATACATATTATAGATAGATATACATATAAATACATATTTAAACACCCAAGACCTAAGCACAACACCAAATGCTCATCACATCGATGTTCGTCTCAGCCGGGGATCGAACCCGGGACCCATGGATTCGCAGTCAGGGGTACTAACCACTAGACCAATGAGTCGTCCAAATATATTATAGACAAGTTAATCAAGTCAAATAGCCTATTTAAGAATGTCACGAAAGAAAGTATTTATTTCCCACCCAGACATATGCAGTATTTACAATATTCGTAACCTACATAATAATAATGGTACTAATAAATGCTCCCTGTGGCAGACCCCTTAATGGTGGCATTACCTCACTGTATTATATTTGAGCTGTTAATTATTTTTCGCCAGCTTTTGTGCTTGTCAAAGGAAGGTAAAACTAACGTACACAAGTAGCATCCCATACCAAAGCTCGTCCCATCTTCCAAGGGATCAACATCTCGTTCGTTTACCATCATCACAAGTGTAGAATTCGTGTAAAATATTATTTATACAAGCAAAAAGACGCATCGCTCAAGCAGCTGTCTCAAAGACAATTCATAAATTCTCTAACAATATTACGACTTCGCCAGGAATTTCAATTGCTCATAACTTGTTTTCAATGAACAATTTGTAATCGATCAGCTATAGGAAGGTTGATTAAAACGTTATTTCAAAGTAGTTGTAGACACCCACTATCACTGCGTTAAAGCCACACCCTTTAACGTGCTATCGAAGTATTTATTCCTGAGTAAATATATTTAATGGGACAGTTTTTTTATGCTAGCCCCTAGATTAGGGTAAAAATCCTTTACTAAGTACTTCACTCACTCCTGTGAGCCTCTGTCCATTGCCATTCAGGCGACTGACCACACTGCGGCGGGCCAAGCCTAGGTCCGAGTTTCGCAAGAGAAGTCCTTGCGCAAGTCGCGGCTAAATGGGCTAAGCTACTCCCCAAAACAACCCGAGCGAAGCTGTCAAGGCCCTTCAGGCCAACAGCAAGATTCCTTTCCCATAAAAAATGACAGGACAAAGAGCGGACACTTTAGAGCAAATGATATGTCACCTATGGACAGCCTGCCGCCGGGGGCTAGAGCGTATGTTGCCGTCCTTTCATGCAAGAATGACACACTGAAAAAAAAAACGATTTTTGTAAAGGATATTGCAAATCTGTCAAAATACACGAAATTCTTAGGCAAAACTGCGAAAGGAAGCATCTGATACTTTTAGTACCTGTACCCTAGACACTTAAAGCTTGGACACGTAGCATATATATTATAAAGTAACCCAGGTACGCCTGCAATGCGTGGCTGTGGTATTCCAGCAGAAATCCTCGGAGCAGTGAGGTCGCTCTGTGAAGTGCTCAGGAAACTTCTGAGCTTCTGGAAGAAGCTAGGCTGGCTTAATTAGGCAACACTTAGACCAAATGAGCGTCTAAGGACGGAAACTGAGTCCACACTACTACACTACATCTATTGTATAGTAGACATATAAGGAACGATTGCAGGAATCACATACATCATATTAATAAAATAAAAAGTTGAATATAAAACCATAAATAACAAAGATAAAAACACCAAGAATCAAACAAAGAACCTCCGCTAAATACATCCTTATATGCCGAGTCAATACCAACGAGATATTAATCCAAATACATAATAATATTAATAAACAGTCAAGTTTTTAATTAATAAACTATTAATATAGAAAAGGACGCGCGGCCACTAAAATAGTGCAATAGCTCTCCTGGTTTGGAATGGCTGATAAAAAATTAATCAGTAGCGCTTCAACCTTTTTAGGTTTGGACCTCAGATTTCTGTTTCTGTTTCATGATTTGTCAATCTAATATATTTAAAGGAATTTGCACTGTGGTGATGCGTAATTTTACCTCACAAACTTTTAACTAAATTTAAATTTCGTGTACCTACTGCCCCAGGCGTTCCATTCGTACCTCCTTGTTGAAAAACGAGTTTTGGCCAAAAGACCTGGATTGTCACACACTTTGAAATCAATTTTCCTACAGTTTGGATAGTTTCTTTTTCTATTCATGTTTATGTTTGCCTAAGTTTGTAATTTATTTTTCTTGTAACAATGTATACTCAGTGTGCCGAGCGTTGGCAAGCTTTTATAAATAATAAAAAAATAAAAGATCAATTAAGAGTAATGTTTAATGCGTGTGTAATTGAAACACACAACACTGATATAATCGCCTATAGCGTTTCGTTTAACGCT